GTGTGTGAGTGTGTGTGACTGTACTCATAGGTAGGAGGGCTGACCGAAAAGGCAAAGTGAAGTGACCACTGAAAAAACAATTCCATTCGGGTCTGGAACTTACACAGTATGATGTAGCAACATTCAGCTATTTTCCAACACAATCCCAATAAATATAGATGTTGTTTTGTTCCCCTAACTACTCTGAAAGTGATAATAATGTCTTTTCCGTGAAAAAAATCTGGTTCAACTGCCCCACTTGGAAGTCCAGACCTCATTCGGCCAGTTGCTTTGGGAACCGTCAAGCCGACACTTTCCGACGAACCAGCTATTATATTCTTAGACGGTTTACGGAACAACGTATTTCGGAAGGTCAAGTACAATAGCAACGAACATAACCTTTAGCTGCATTTCTTCATGAATAAATTTTTCCTTTTGTGTGCAAAAAAAATGTACAACTCCACGCACTTATATCTTTGACCTTTCCTGAGGATAGTCATGTTACATAATATGGCGCCCTAGCTGTGCACGTTCAGTGGTACAACTGATACTTGAGCAACAATAAACACTGTGCATTTCCTTTTGCATCCCCTTTTTATAGTAGAGGGTTTTACGGCGCTAGCAACAGCATAAGGTCTTATGAGCGCCAAGGGGTGGATGTCAAGAGAGAAGTCTTTACAGGGAATCAGACTTACTCTGCTCACCTCTCTAGCTTCAACAACACAATGTCTGCTTCGACTATCAAGGCACCCCGGAAATAGCAAGTCACAAGAGTGTGACAAACATACGAAAGAAGTAGAGGGAAATGACAAAAGTAAGGATTAGAAAAGAAAAACAGCAGTTCCCTGTGTTAGATCAGGCACAGTTATGACATGAATCAGCCCATTTACAATTCTACTGTGCTAGAACGAGAAATGTCCTCCCTTTGGGAATGGCCTAAAGACACTTCAGTCAGTGGAACTGCCCCGGGGAGAATGCATCCCTTTCAAAGACTGTAAAAAGAGCCATCACTTTCTTTTAATTTTGATCAGGTTCACTTTACTCTTCTGACAACTGTCGTACACGACATATTATTTTATTGCTAAGGAGCACGCATTAATTTCAAATGTTAGGAAAAAATCTGATGAACAAGCATCAAAGTATAATATCATGTTTAACATGTTTATAAGATTTTTAACAGTGTTACCAGACAGTCTAAATTAAATATTATGAGTATGGAAAAAATTATAAATGGATCATAATAGACGCATTTACTAACAACAGGCCCTAATTTGTCTACCTTTTTACCACCTAAAGCGACTCTGTTTTCTCTCGAGCGTCAATAAAAAAAAATCAAAAACCCAACTTATGTTGCATGCTCCGACAATCATTGAAGAGGAAATAAGGAAGAAAATTTAGTATAAAACTTGAAGAATATATGATTACAAACAAATATAATATGTACTACAATGAGGAAAAGAACCACAGTGGTGAAACTATCAAACGAAAAGCTTAAAACAAGAACCCTCCGTTTACAAATTACGTTAAAAAATAAGCATAGAAGTACACAGAGTAACAATAAAAGGACCAGGGAGACATCATCAGCATTAATTCTATGTACACGTACTGCTGAGCAACTGTGTTCAACCCAATTCATCGTTTCAGCGAAAAGGGTACAGCTGTAGCCTCCTCCACCATTTCCCTCCCCCTTTCCCCCTACTCCTTTTCCTCTATTTGCAATGCGATCATTATTTCTGGGTGTGTGCTCGCGAAATGGCGGTAATAAAGACATAATCTGACTCATTACGCCAAATTACCCAGCAGTGTGTGCCGCCATATACTTATGGAATGCAGCTTTTTTTTTGGCCAAAGTGCAAGGAATTCGATTTCCCCAGAATGTGTTCTTCTTCCACTAAAAACACATAATATTTCATACATTGTACTTGGATCTAATTCAGGCTTACTTCTACTACTCGTATGCTTCGTTGTGAATTTTAGGTCAAAAGTTGGGAAGTGTTTCATTTTCCTAACATCTACAATAACAGGTTGACAAACGAAAGATGGGCATATGGGTAGCCATATCTATTGTACTTCTTTTCAGATAAAAACAACCCAAATGAGAATACATAGATCCGGTACCCAGTCGAATATTTTTGGGTGAATGTATAACGACCTTGAGTTTTGAACTTTCTCACACAAAAATGCATTGGAGTTGAAGACTAGAAAAGAAATCTGGAGTCCATTTTTTATTTTGATTAAGAGAAAAAAAATACACACGTTTATTTTCATGGTCTGGGTGTCTGAGATTGGGCGTCGGATTATGCGCGCGCACCGCGCGTGTGTATGTGTGTGTGCGTGTCTCTGTGCGTGTGTGTGTGTGTGTGTATGTGTGTGAGAGAGAGAGAGAGAGAGAGAGAGAGAGAGAGAGAGAGAGAGAGAGAGAGATGTACAAATTTGTCGTCTTGCATCTGATATAATTTGAAGACTTAGAAAATAAGCAAAATAGATCGACAGAATAACCAAATAGCTGCATGCACACATGATGGTTTAGGTTTTATTTGACGGTCCTTTCATTTGTCATTTACAAGGTGGCTTCTATCTTACAACTTGCTTCTATGATAAGACTGAACATAAGACTGAACCAGTTTCGGGGAGCCTTAACTAGGTATGAAAAAGAACCGAAAAACTTGAGCGAGGAAAGATCCAGAAACATCTGAATTACGAAACTATTACTTTGCCATCTGACCGTGCACGCATTAGCCGAATCGAAATATAGTCTACCCTGCTCTCACAAGCTTCTGTCCAAGACAATCACCTGTGCAAACGCCTGTTTCCCACCTTCCCCTGTGTTTTCAGTTTTCTTTCTTTAAATACAGTTGAACCAGTCAAAGACCACCTCCCATTAATAATTTTAAAAAAGTAATTATAAATACATTCCTATTTATTCTTCCTCGTTGGGGAAATTCGGTTTACAATGGATAAACATATACACATGAATACATGAACACATAAGAACACATACAGATACATTACAAGCATAATATATGCCAGCGCTGGTCATCATTGTGCAGCACCCTGCTTTAGGGTAAGCTTAGTGATTATCGTGTCTTGCTCAAGAAAACACGATTGTGACCACCCATCTAAAAGCCATGTCACCGACGTATGCTTGACATGTATTGTGTGGCTGCATTCATTAACTATTCAAAGAGAAAAGAGGTTACTTTAGACAGGTAGTGCTCTTGCACAGAGTCATTATATATATATATATATATATATATATATATATATATATATTGTTTTAATGCAAGGAGAGGGGAGGAGGGAGATGTGTTCGTTCGTACAGGTGATGGTATTGGACAGGTGGTCGTTAGAACAGGGTAGACAGTATTATAACAATCTGTTCAAGCAAAGTACCTGTCTAAGATAAACACTATTCTCCTCAACTACGGGAGTTCGTCTTAGATTGGTTCGACGGTACGTTTCATCATCATAGAACACGAATTGTCGACCAATTTTAATTACAAACACGAATATTATTGCCGACCAATTCTAGGAACAAACATGAATTGTCGACCAATTCTAAACAAAAACACGAACTGCCGACCAATTCTAAACACAGACACGAATTGTCGACAAATTCTAAACACATCTGTTAGATTGAGAATACACCCCTGAAAGTCAAAGGTCCTAAGGACAGGTGCACATCAAAAGGAGCAGGTAACATTAGAAGGAAATGCACTAGGCTAGTAGACGTTGAATCCTTTTGATATCTTGGGAGTATAATCGACACAGAGGGAGGAACAGGTGCTGAAATAAAGCCCCGCATTGGAAAGCACAGGCTGCTTTCATATCTTTGAACAGGATTTAGAAGACCAGAGATATCTCACTTCGAACAAAGCTGGCGATTTTCAATTCAAATGTGAAATCTGTCCTGTTGTGTGGATGTGAGACATGGAATGCATCACAGACTTGCATAAACAGGATCCAGATTTTCTTCAACATGTGTCTAAGAAAGGATCAGATGGACAAACAGGGTCACCAACGAGAAAATGTTAAGGAAAACAAGACAGATCCCAGTCAGAGATGAGGTAGGAAAAAGGCGGTCGCGACAGATTAGACATACTCTCAGGCAGCTGTATAACTAAGAAAGTGTCTGATTGGAATCCACAGGGTAAAAGATCAAGGGGGACACCGCATGGAACCTAGAGAAGAATCACATAAAAGTGGGATGACATGGAATAACATCAAGAGGCTAGTCCAGGATAGAGAAAGGTGGAAAGTGTTTGTCCGTGGCCTATACCCTGGTGCAGGGTGAAAAAGTCAATGATGATGATGAATTCTAAACACAAACACGAAATATCGACCAATTCTAAACACAAACAGGAATATTATTGCCGACCAATTCTAAACACAAACACGAATTGCCGACCACTTCTAACAGGGTTGGGTTGATTTAAATCAGTTGATTTTTTAAATTTAAATCAACTTGATTTTTTAAATAAAAATCAGTGATTTAAATCACTTTTTTAAAATATTATTTTTATTCAGTTTTTACTTATTTCAACATTCAGAATTCCTTTCCTTGGTTTCATAAAACAGATATAAGGTTTAGTAGACTAATATAATCATGCTTAAAAGTCTGCTTTCCACCCTTTCACTATAAAATAATAGAGTATTCAATTTACTTTTTTTTCCATAATTGAAATCAGAGCTGGGTTGATTTAGATCAGTTGATTTTTTAAATTTTAATCAACTTGATTTTTAAAATAAAAATCAGTGATTTAAATCACTTTTTTTTATGTATCCAGTTTTTTCATATTTAAACATCCAGAATTCCTTTCCTTGGTTTTATTAAACAGATATAAGGTTTAGTAGACTAATATAATCATGCTTAAAAGTCTGCTTTCCCTCCTGTCACTGTAAAATTTATTGTAATACAGTTTTCAATATATTTTTTTTTCATAATTGAAAACCAGGGTTGGGTTGATTTAAATCAGGTCGATTTAAATCAGTTGATTTTTTAACAATTTAAATCAACTTGA